GCTTTTCGTTGTGTTTGGCCGGCAGGCATCTCCTAGAGAGGACCGATTCATGTGTTTAGAGACGCTTTTTCTTCGCAAACGAGGGATTTGTAAAATATAAAATGATAAATCACTATTTTCGTGGATGGAATTTATAATACACAAAAATTTTAATGGAATGGTCGTTGTATTTAAAACTAAAGGCATTTTCCTAGGAAATCAAAAATTCTACAACAGGTTCCTATATATAAATACAAATTTTTCAGTTTGGACTCAAATATCAAAATTAATCAATAAATTGCACTTAAAATAAAATCGCCTACTATAAATTGTATCATCATCAAACTTTCTATTCCCACTGAAACATATTTTTATTTTATAGGTACATATACGGACATTGCAAAAGCTTCTTAAGATATAAGTAGTTTTGCTGGATGTCATTGTTTTAATAATAATTTGTAAAGAAAGCTTGAGAGCCTGAAATTTTCAAATTTGGCAATAAGCAGTTCGTTTTCCTAGTATTTATTTACCACGTTGGAATATTATTATTAAAGACCATACGCAATTCATCATTAACACATTTCGCTAAATAAATCCCACTTATGTTGCAATAAGATCTTTTATCTATGGGACGTGGTAAAAAATTAAATTTAGGTAACAAACTTAAAATAAACAAATTGACTGTAAACTTTCTATTTCAGATCAGGACACACTCAGGAGACATTAAAATCAATTGAAGCTTAGCTGAAATTTTGATCATTGACACGACAAAAAGTTTTAGCAATAAATTATTTTTTGTATTAAAAAATTTGATATGTGTAGATGACCTTTAAATATATTTCTTAGCACTTTTAAAATATCTAAAGACAAAATTTTTTGCTTAGGATCGTAAAGAATTTACCTGAAAAACAGGTGTCGCAGTTAATTTGCATTCTTGCAGCGAGAAAGGGATGAGAGGGTCGAAAAAAGCTATACCTTACCTGCACTGGCATAAAAATCATTCGTGCAAGAAGTGTCTTAAAATACTTTCTACAGTGTACTTGCCCTGTGCAGATCTGGCACGCAATAGTTTAGAAATTCAAAAACTATAAAAATGGATCACATCAGAAATATACCAGCCACCTCTTTCCGCGTTACTCCATTCGAAATAAAGTTTTACATAGAAGACGAAGAAACACTCTATCAAATAAAAACTAATATAACAAATTTGATGATTATGAATTTTTTTTTTATTATAAATTTTGGACTTCAAATAAGTAATTATGTTGTTGAATTTTTAAAAATTATAGTAAACGCTTCAACAACAATATTAAATAAAAACGTAGTTCAGTTTCAAGGAAAAGTTGTGAATAGGATTTACTGAGAAATCAGACGTTTTTTTGAATGTTTCATTTTTTTGGTGTGTAATCAATTTTTTTTTTCTAAAATTTGCCTAGTAGATATTTAGAATATTATTAATTAAACTATCTGACCCCGTAAACTTCGATTCGCCTTCAATTTAATTTTGAATCTGCAAAACCGAATGCTTTGAAATCTTGCAGATGTTTTAAACATATGATAAGCATAATAAAATTTTATTCAAAATACATTTACTTATTCCCTCCAAAAAATTGATGACGTCAGCCCAAAATTTTGCTAAATGAATCCTACCTAAAATGTCCAAACTAGGATGAGACTATACTTGTGATTTATCATTCCATCCATATTTTTTAGTTTTGCTTATAGGAGGTGTCTCAAAAAAATTAATCACTGAGTCAATTTATTTTATTGATTGAATCAAGAATTGCAAAACTGAATTTTGAAATATTGCAGACTGTATGGCATGGTAGCTTTTTAAACAAAATATATCTGTTTATAAAGCCCAAAAATTTGATGACGTCATCTCAAGATTTTGCCAATAAATCCTATCTAAAATGTGCAAAATATCATCAGTATATTTTCGTAATTTATCATTGCATTCATATTTTTTAGATTTGCTTTTACAGTGACTCAAAAAAATGTATGGATCAGTCAATTTGTTTTAGTGAATAACTCAAGAGTTGCAGAAATGAATACTTTGAGATCTTGCAGACGTTTTAAAGTTTTTGTAAGCATGCTAAGTTGTTAAGAATATTTATTTATTCCGCCCAAAAAATTGATGGAACGGCTCACTCGATTTTCGCAGATAATTTTGGGAATACAATACAGTTATTTTTAGTATTACACTGCACCAGTCCAAGGTGGTATACGTGTTGACCGTAAATGTTGATTAGGTCGTCACAAAATTGTATGAAGAAAAGGCTCAACTCGAAAATGCTGAATATGTTTCATTATACTTTTGGTGCCAACGAAGTTCTGTCGAAGCAACGTTCGATCAATTTTTTGACAATGGTTGATATAAATAAAACTCAGTAGATGCTCATACTCGAAATACGAAGTATCTACTCGAATATCAAGGGTTATATGTATTTTTTGTTGCCAAATCTTAAAAAAATAAAAATAAAAAATGTTGTCCAAAAAATAAACAAAAATTTTTTAGGGTGGGCCACCCTTATCACTCAGGGGTATAAAAGATAGTTTACAACCTATTCTCAGACCTACCGAATACACAAAAAAAATCACACAAATCGGTCAACCCACTTCAGAGGAGTTCTGTTACAAACACTGTGACGCGAGAGTTTCATACATAATGCATTATTATTTTAGAACAAATTTCATTACCATAAAAAAGGTTATACTGAGTCGATCTTAAAACATAGACATATGCTGTCGGGAACTTTAGAACTTTTAGAGGGAAACAATTTCATCATACATGATCTTTACGTAACTTTAACGGTTTAAGCAGCGTAAGCAACGGAAGTTGTCAAAGGAGAAATAATTTTCCCGTTTTTCCTAATTTTTCATTGCTACCTCGCTTCTATTGATCGTAGCGTGATGTTATATAGCCTATATGTAGATACGATAAATGGACTATCCAATACAAAAAGATTTTTTGAATTCGAACCAGTAATTTCTGAGATTAGCGCGTTCAACCAAACAAATTCTTCAGCTTTATAATATAAGTATAGAAGTATAGATGTGTCATGACTTTTATTTTGTCTTTAAGAACAACATTCTATATTTCCTTAAATATATGCTAATACTACGTAAATAATTGTCAAACCAGATTAAACCTCGACATTTACTACGAGAAATTAAAGAAATCCTGAGGAGGCTCGAATAAAAACGGTGAAATTTGTGACAACTACCTCTCTAAATCTAGATACCGCTCTATCGCTAAGCAGTGGCGGAGCAATGTGGTTTATCACCCGTCGTGCTAGAAAAAATTTAACGCTATTATTATAGGAAGATCGAAGTGAAAAACATTAAAAAACATACATTCCCACGAAAATAATTATGTGTATAATCTGTCAATATTGTAACCGCTGTTGTCACAACCGCTTAGTAACGTTATTCAGCCCTTGCATTGTGAAAGTCAAAACGACCGACTGAAGCCTATCATCAATTCATCATAAATCTCCGACACCCTCAAAAAAATTGATGAAAATTTCGGTATGCCGTTATCTCCAGGATTTTATTACAATTTTACTAGTATATACTCGTACACTTGTTTTTTATGAATCCGTCTTGACTTTTTACCGTAGACATCCAGATTTTTGTAAAACAAATCAAAATTATATAACAATACTTTATAGAGTAATTTTGAAACTCGGAAATCTTGTTACGGTCAGCCAAAATTTATTCATTATCATCTTGCTGAGGAGTAATCCGGCAATATTTACCAGATTTACCACAACAATATCTTATCCAAAATCCTGAGCTGTAACTGAGCTGTAATAGAAACGTATATTCTAAATGATTCTAGGAAAACATCATTAAAAATAAATGTCGAGTTTATACTCTGCTAGATTAAGCTAAATTGCAAGTTTATTCAAAGTTTCTTTACTTAATTCTACCTAAAATTTGAGAACAAATTAAAGCTGAAATGAAATTATTTTCCGAATTTGAATTTACCTTTCCATGTCAATGTCGAGAAAGATGAATAATATTCTAAAACGAAAATCGTCCGTTATTGAATAAACATTAAATTTTCTATCATCAGTGAAACATATTTTTATTTTAAATGTAAGCGAGGATAATTCAAACATCTTTTAAGATAATTGATAGATGGAATTTGATAGTCTGAAATTCTCAAAGGATTATTTCTAACAATGGACAGTTTATTCTTTTTGGTAATTCTTGTCACTTTGGAGTGTTAGTGGAATCAGTACCCATGCAGTTCATTCTACTACAAAATTCGCAATTTTTAATTTGCAATGTTAGATGCTCTTTAATCGTAGAGTATATTAAAAAAATAAAATTTTGGAAATGAAATTCGAATAAATTAAGTTGTAACGATTTTTAAATCTAAGCGCGTTCGGTGAGCAAGGTCGCGAAAGAGTGGGGTCGGTTTTTGCGGGCGGTGAGAAAAACAGGAGGTGAAAAGCGTTTTTTGAGCCAGTTTGAATTGCGGTGGAAAGAGAGATTTTGACAAAATAAGCAACCAATAACACCTAGGTGAGTGCCTATTTGGCCTAGAATATTTAAATAGCAGAAGGAATTAGGTTCTATGTACGGGTGCCGTCGATTTGTGGTTGGTTGCCGTCTAAATTTGCGGAAAGTAGCATGCAAGATCGTAGAGATGGTACCATTTCGTGAAAAGAGTTTGTTAATATAGAGTAACCGAAAATTAGTCCTTAGAGGCGTTATATTTTAGCAAGTACAGATATAAAAATTAATTCAAGCTTCACAAAAAAATTGATCTGACAAAAACATCCTTGATCGGACATTTTAATGAAAAAATGGCCTCTCACATGCTTCGGAAAATGCATTGCGGATTAAAGATGAAGCAGTTGCTGTTTGAACTCGATGTTTTACAAAAACTGTTTTTTATTGGTGTTTCCGAGAAAGAAAAATTTGAAACTGATTAAAAAAATATAATATGTGATACAATCAATATAATTTTATGAGATATATGCTAAACAAATAAATTATACAAAAAATTTATCTGAATCTACCTGATAGGAATTACCACCGTCCTAACAATAAGAAGTGGAGATGGAAAAAGAGTTTATACCTGAACAAATTTTTTGTACACACTTTGCCAGTGCTTTTGTCTTGTGAACCCACGCTGTAATACAACGTTACAAGAATGTATCACCACCGAAATACACGAGCTACCACCTTCCCCATTAGTCCGCTGGAAATACAATTTCATGTAGAAGATGAGAAAACACACTCACAAAAAGTCAGAACATTCAATCCATTAGAGATTCCAGTGAAATATAACGGTAAGTGGTATAATCATTTTTAAATAGATTTGTTACTTATAATGTTTTTTCTACAGTTTATACACCTGTAATGGACACGTTTGTGATAGAGCCACAGGGTTTGCTTATGATCACACCCCGCTCGTGTGGACATTTTTTTATCAGACTTGAAAACCCCAAAACCACAGAAGCCGATTCAAAAAGTCTTTTTTTGTTCACTGTGTCGGACATCCACACAGAGGGGGTAATTAACACTTGTTTCATTTTTGTTGCTAAAAAACACAATTAATGTCAGTAGAGAACATTTTTTAAGTGAAATTTATTTTCTCAGGTTATTGCTCGAAATACGTTGTTGAAACGATTTTGGCTCCAGATGAAAATGTAGGCGAGGTGACGGTAAAGAAAAAACCGAAATCGATCCATTAAAATTAATTAAAACGGGGATTAATTTACGGCTTCCTCCGATTAAAACGGAGAAGGCCGTAAATGTGACCAAGAAAGAGGAGCATAGATTACAGGAAGGCATGAATGAAATTAAAGAGGAAGAGTGTAAATCAGAAGTCGAGAGTGAGAAAGGGCCAGAAGAAAAAATCGATCAAGAGGAAGTAGATCTTATAACAGAGACAAAGGATGGAAATGAAGAAAACCATAAACAAGAGGAAGGTGTAAATGAAACGAAACGAGAAGAAAGAGTCGATCGAGACACAATTTGCACACAATATAATTTGGAAGATGTGGAGAGGAGGATATTTTAGTACAACATGAAACCTACACCGTAAACATTTGGTACGTACTTTATTTTGTACTCTGTGAAATATTAATTGTAATAATATGACCAACACTAATTTGTTCTTTTTGTTTTAGCTTTTATAGAACTTGTGTTTGGCGACATGAGTTTTTTCTTGGGAAAACTACCCGGATAAATAAATATTTAAAATATTTGTATAATTGTATATAGGTAAGTGTATATAAGTAGTATGTGTAATAAATTCTTTAATTTTTTTGCATTTTCGAATTAAGAAAGGGAGCAGGAGTGAAATTTTTTAATGACTAATATTCAACAAACTCCGTAAAAAATTGAAAAATGTATCATTCTTAAATTAAATTATTTTCTGAATTAGAATTGAAATTTCACAATCAAAATGTTACAGTAACACTGTGGGAATAAAATCACTTTCTATTGGATTACGAAAATAATTTTCTGACCTCGAATGAACTTGATTTTTATTATTAAAAATTGCTGAAAATAACATTTTTAAAATAATTAATAAAAAAACATGACATTTTGAAATTTCTAAACGATCATTTTTACTTCCCAAGCTAATCTAAGTATCGGGCGACACGCTACTTTCTTATTTTCTCGACAATTTATGACTATTAAGCAGTTGACTGTTCAGGTATTACTCGTACAATCTAATTGCAAATATAATTATACCTGGAAATAATCCTTCGGAAAATTAGTTATAAATGTGTTTTCCTCGACAATTTATGCTTCAGTACTGGTTTTTATAGCTCTTAAATTTTAATAATTACTTTAATTATCACTAGTTTAAAATTGAAACTCTTTTTCGTGTCCAAAAATAAAGCAATTATTTTTTAGTTCTAAATTACTTACTGATAACAAGTGCAAAAACGGATAATCCTTATCACGTCAGGTTTTTTCATAAATTAAAGAATAACTTTAAGAATCTCCCACCTCCAACCCAGTTTGTCCACTTTCACTCCATTATTGCCCAATCCGGACTCTCCTACCCCCGGAATATCGAAAATTCACCCCACAAACATCTTCGGAATCCCATGCATCCTCACTTTTTACATTCGTCGGGGTGGTTAGCCAAGAATTTTGAAAACTTTGCTCCTCAGTTTAGAGTAACAATTAGAAAAAAGGTACATTGTTTTCATTATCTCCTGTGGTGACCGAATTTAAATCAAACTTTTCGCGCTGAAATTAATTGACAACGGCGCGAAATCACATTTGAATAATTTTAATTTGAAAAAAAAAGAGTTCAATCACAAAAAGGAAATCCTTAAACATAGGCAACCAAATATGCATGGATGGTCTAATGCACGTAGCGCTTAGGAGTTAGTTTGCATGATCTTTGGGTTAGATGGCAGCACGTAGCGCTAGGGTAATTTCAGTTAGAGGGTTGGTAGAAAAACGGCACGGTAGGGCATTACGAATGTGGCTGTGTGTGTGTGACCACGTGGTAAGAACTAGGTTTAAATTAGTTGGTTTGGTAGTTAATAAAACGGGAGGAAGCCTTTGTTTAACGACGATCAAACGTATTTTTCATAATGATACAGTTGTCCCCAACCCGCGCGGTAAATCCTTGCGCCCTTTTAATCGAAAATTGCAGACTTCCGGTCGGACGCGAACACGTGTTGTGAATCTGTTCTTTGTTTGAAAATTCACAAATCAAGCTACTTTTTCTTAATACTCAGCTAGAGCAAACACAATTTAACAATCAGGATTATTTAAATTAACCATTTGCTAGAAGATTTCATGAAATTCACTTAGTCAGGAAAAACACCTTATGTTTAATTACGAATAGGTCTCTGGATGCATATACGTGAGTGTTACATTAGAACACTTCTAAATTCTTCACACAATATTGCTAATAGTTCATTTACGGCAGTTAAACAAGTTCATTATACTGCGGACTGGCGGGGGGGTTATGATAATTCCTTCCCTTAGGTGGTTATCATCGTTATCATAATGATCGAGGCAATTCCTCGCAACGATTTTGAAATTTACATCACCGAGACGCTTTTTCCTCGCAACGATTTTGGAATTTATATCCCCGAGACGCTTTTTCCTCGGAGCGATGATTGGATATTTTTGTGTTTGTTTGTTTATGTGTTTTGTTGGGGTAACCAGTTCGTAGTATTTTAAACTCTCAAAGTAAATTATTTCTGAAGTAACCAATCACTTAATGATATAATTTGGCATAATGTAAACTCTTTGTTTGAACTGTTGATAAAGTGTGGCAAATATTAATCTCCTGTAAATTATGTTAACTCTGCAATTTTTCACATCATACTATATTTCTTAATCTCACAATCTTAACCTCAGTAATTTTATTTGTTGTATAAATTTAATTGAACGTAAATTTCATGTTCTACAGTTCTAACCTCACATAACATTTCTATTTGTACAAGTTTATTTCACACCAGATCTTTCGTCTCATAAATCCTTGCTAAGTTTTGTTTTGTAAATACTTTGTTGATGAATGTTTTCTATCATATAAATTATTTGATGTCCAACTTTAATCCCACATAAGAATTATTTGTTGTTTAAGATTTCACAAGATTGTATGGCGAATTTAAATGTTGTTTATTGCTCTTTGAAACTTTAACACTTGTTCAGTTGTTGTTAACATCAGAGTTATAAGAGATTGAATGTTTTAAAATGGAATTGAGGTTAAATGACACAGAAAACGTGGCAGAAGCGAGGTTTGGTTCCTAGTCGAGCTGGCGAGATTTATCGTGCCACCTGTACAAGTCCTCAGGTTTGGATAGATTCAGGGGCGGCCGCCGACGTTGTAAATTTCTCAGCTCCTGTCGATAGCTTAGATCTCTTGCGGGTTGGACGACCGTAATGGCCTAGTTCCGCAGGGCACAGTTCGTCATGGGATATGCGTGTGGGGTAGGCTTTGCGATAGATAGAATCATCGTCGCGGGGGGAGAACAGTTCCAGACCGGTAGCTCAGACTCCGCTTATGCTACAACGCTCCAGGGGTACTTTTCTTGTGCTCCTGTTAACTGCCGTAACAAAAAAAAAAAGGAAAAGGAGATCGGCCGCCACACGCCTGTAATAACTTGTGTATTTGCATCCAGTTACTTGATTCAGCTTTTGCTTTGTTTTTATTAAATTTGTGATATTCAAATATTTGCATTGATTCCAAACAGATGTATAGAATTTCCGTTTGTTCGTTTTTCATAGGTGTGTGTCTGTCAATTCGCGAGTGTTTTTCTTTCACATATCTTAAGGTGTTTGAAATGTAATAATATGTCGTCCGGGAATAAAACCAAAGGGGGTTTTTGCGCTGAGGGGTAATTCTTCGCAGCGTATTTCCCCCCGTGAGGGTGGTGCCGTTTCCCCCCCTCCAAAACAATTTTTGTCTATTATTTTTTGCGCTCTCGACAGTGTATGCACTTGTATGAAAGAACGTCTTCCCGCCATTTTTCAAAAACAAAAAAAAAAAAACACAACGTAGGTTCCTATTTGTTAGACGATCATAGCCAAGGCCAAACTTTGAATTTTTAAATTTTTTGCGGGCCTTTCAAACTGTTTTCAAGGTCAAATTTCAAGGCGGGAAGTTTGGGTTATCACACTCCCTTTCAAAAAAACTACTTTTTTCAAACAATCTCCAAATCCAGTAGCTAATTCATATTTTTTTTTACAGATATCTGCAGCCATGGAATCTCACGGTTTCCGCATGGAACTTATCGCCATCAGAGGACCCAACAACTTCTCTTGTGATTATCACTTCTGCAATGACATCGACGCAATATCTAGATCTGCGGTTAAAGCAAGAAATGTTTTATTGGAGAACATGCACTGACACATTGAAACTGCGCTTGCTCCTATAGTGGCAAATGGTCGGTGTGGACAAGTTGTTTCTATTGAGGCACCTTACAATTCTGTCCTCTTTGACAGAACCTCCACGGATCCGGTCATCATCGTCACAGAGATTTATGAGGAAAACATCGACTTTGTAATGTGCAAAGTCATATTCTTTTTGTTAGATTGAGTTGTCGGTAGGTAATTTTCATTAACTATGTGTGTGTTTTTTTTAAACATGTACCTACCGATATTGTCAAGTTTGAAATGTGTATAGTGAGCAGTGGCGGCTCGTGATTCTAGAGGTTGGGGGGTCAAAAAGATTTAAAAAAATCGATGCCAAGTTGCGCTGTTTATAAAATGTTCCAAATACAGACTGCTACTGCAGCACAACAAAAAACAAAATCAATGCATGTGATAATTCCTGGAAATGCTGTTTTGCCAGTTCGTAATTATAATTAATCGGTTAGTGGTGTTGGTACGAAATCGGAAGCGTGCGACAGTCTTGGGCCGTCGACACCATTGTAGGTATGTCGAGCATATTCTGTACCTTGTCTGATATGTTGAATCTCGCTAAAGCCTATCTCTGTCTTGCGTAAATGCAGTTTCCACACATCGTATCAGCCTCCATAAGCGACTGTGGAGTCGAATCTGAAATCCGACTGCGCAGGAACCTCGGTCTCTTTGTGGAGTTAACATATCGCGCTTGGACGTGGACGGGATCCACTCCTCGCTTAGGGTAAAAATCATCAAAAATAAATTATCAAATAATGAATGGAGTAATATGTAATAAAAAAAATAATGTTTTTTATTCGTAAAAA